AGTAAACCATGCTGATCTGCACAATTAGCATTTAACTATATCCAAGTCATCACAGGCATTGGTTGTATAGTTACAGAGTATATTGGAACAGGTTGGCATCTGTATTGGCCGTACAATGGAGGAGTCATTGCTGCTTCAAAAACACTCTGTTTTTATTCCAGAGTGAGACTGGATAAGAATTCCTTTGTGTCAGGTTTTTTTAGAATAAAAATTTAGTATTGTGTGTGTTGAATACATGTGTATGTGTATGCATGTGTATATATACACAAGTGGAAACATTTTTGTTTTACTATTTTTATTGTTTTTTTTAAAGTATAGTTAATTTTTTGATAGTTATATTCACTGGAAAATAATGGTTATTATTGGTGATAAATGAGTGTTCCTGATATGCAGCTTGCATTCGTATATTAAACAGTTGTATTTCTCTTTCAGTACAAATGGTTCACATCCAGCAACAAATCCACCTGTCCACTCTGTCGAGAGACATTCTTCTGAAATAAAACGGTCTTTCTGTGAGCTAAATAATAAATGAAGAGGAGGCAATAAACTGTATGTTGAAAGAAGCTAACTTGGAAATCATGTCAGTTACTTTAAATTCTTGACTAGTCAGATATGACACATATTTACCTCTGAACTGTTTTTTGTAAGTTTGAAGATTCTTCTTTGATATAAAGAAATATATAAGAATAATTTATTTTACTTTGTATATTTTTAAGGTATTGAGATACGTTAAAAATTCAGAAATAATGCAGTTATGTCTGAAAAGTGGTGTTCAAGCCACAGCATAGTTGATTAACACCTCTTAATTTAGGTACATTCTAACATGGTGTTATGCACTTAACCCAGATCATGCCTCTTAATATAGCAGGTGAATTTAACATAGGCGGTATAAAGACTTGATTTTTAATTATAGTGCATTCATAATAGTTCTCTTAGGGGGAGAAAAAGAATGTTTTGCTGTTAGACATTAAGGCATGGAACTAGGGTGATAACTGTCTGTTAAAGCATAGAAAGCATAAAACGTAAACATAGCATGCTCTAAATTAACATGTTTGTAAACTGAGCTTTCACCTTTTACAGTCCTGTTTTCCCCCCAAAAAAATCATCCATCCAGCACCCTAAAAACATGAAAACTTAGAAGCCCAGGTAAGCAGAGAGGGTACAATCATTCCTGCATGACAATGAAAAACACTAGCTATTTATTGACAATTGGCTTATAAAGAGAAGGCATACACACTGATCCATTTGTGTTTTCATTATTTCAGTTAATGTCTTCATTAGCTGGCAAATTAACTGTCACTGAATGTACACTGTACTTCCATAGTCCCATAATAATAAGGACTCTAAGTGAACATGACAGATATATCAGAATTTAATATTGTTTTTGACGATGCATTTTTTTCATGCTTTGTTTTTTTTTTTAACAGCAGTAGTATACTACTGTATTCTAATTTGGATGGTATTTGTGGTGGATTCCTTTGAAAAGTCAATAAAAGGGGAGGAATAAATTACTTCTATCTCTGTAGTCTCTGGATTGCTGTCTCTTCCTCTATGTGATAAAACTTTCATATGCCAAATTCATGGTGTAGTCAATTGGCTGTACCTGAACAGCTGTTTTTTTGAGATTCTGTATGTTTTCTCGAAATTGGTTCCTTTTGAGGTGACAGCTCTAGAAATGATTTCTAGCTGTTGATAGTTTATATTTTTACCAGGTAACACTGGGCTTCTGGAAGAGAAATTTCCTGACATTTTTTGAGAGAGAATGGAAAGGATTTAAAACTGGTATTGAAAAGGTCTAACTGAAAACAGAGATTAAGGAGTAAGCTGTATTGTCTTCATAATTACTGATACCAAACCTCCAGGATTGTCTCCATTGCATCATTTTGTTTCAGACAAGGCTGGTTATTCCAAATGAATTATTTGCAAGTTCAATATCTGATTTGAAGGCTAGTTGTGGTTAACCAGGTATTGCTTGAAAAGAGGCATCTTAAACTCTTCTAGCAGACCCTAACTTGCAGATTGCCTACTAGGAACAGGCTTGTGGAGAGCTTTTGTCTTGGTTCCATTCGAACAAAGAAGTGCAGCAGTATGGCTTTTGGCACCGGTGCTTGCTGACAGAGCAGTGCCTCGGGGTCTGGGGGTGCAGAATTTTTGCGTTCTTTGTGGTAATTTTGACACTGCGTATAAAGTCTGTATCTACCCTGTGGCTTATTCTCCTGTGCACTGAATGCAGCAATATGCCCCCCAAAACTCTCCAGAAACAGTGTTGCATTTTTTGGTCTTCTAGGAGAAGGGAATAGGTGTGCCCTGGCAAACGCTAAATGTATGTGCAGGCCTTTGTAGACATAGCAGGTTTCAGAATTAACCAGAAAACTTACCTGGCCCATTACTAGTTCCCAGTCTTCACTGGGATGATGGTAGCGTAATAGGAATAGGTTCTTGCAGAACTTGTCCGTGTTCTTACTTGGATTGCATTTTGACAGGTGCTTCCACTGAAGTTGCAGCAGACAGCAACACAGCGGGCCAGGAGACTTGACTCATGGTGTATTAAAGTGGATACATATATTTTCATGTCCAAATTTCCAGTTGTTAGTCCAGTGCAATTGCTTTTTGTTGAAAGCATGTTATATTACACTTTCTGTTTTGATCTTCTGCTTCTGTTCTGATTTTCATTATTCTGTCCTTTCAACTGCATACACTGTTGACATTGTGATCTACTGTGCCAGATGGCTGCCCTTTTTTGCCTTTGATTACCTCTTTTAAAACTAATTCTTCAGTTATAACTAAAGGCTAGGCAGATCGACTAAAACTTCCTTTTGTTATACTTGTAGTTTGATTCTATTACATCTTAAAACTGTCTTTTGATGTTGCAACTCTTGCTCAGCAACCTAACTTTGTTAGCCAAAGTGGTTAACAACATAAAACTCCTAGAGTGGTCTGAGGATGACGGCATTTTGGTTCATTCAGACAGCCCCACGGCTGTAATTATAACCTCAAAAACGATGACTCTACAGAAAAGCAAGATCGCCAAGCATAAAACTTCCTCTCCTTACAGTTTTGTAAGAGAAAAGTGAACAAAAAAACAAAGCGTGGCTTTGCAAAGGGTCTGCATCAAGTCAAAAAGGTTCTAGAAGTAGGAAGCAGTTGAACTGAAATATGACTTACCAGAACTGACTAGTTGGGAAGCTAGAACGAAACTTTCCTTAAATTCTTCAATAGAAAACTGTGGAAACGCATTATTTCATAGATGGCCACAGTTTCCTCTCAGTTTCTCAACTTTGACATTCCTTAGACAAGTTGTTCTGAAGGCAAAAATCAACAAAGTCCTGAGCCTTTGGTCAACACTGACTCACTTTGGTCAACAAAATGCATTTTTTTGAACTCAGCAGTTTTAAGTACTAGAATTTCTTGTATATAGCATAAATGTCAAGTAACATCCTTAATGTGACAGTCTTGCTTCTAAACCTTCCTGCTGTGTGTTTGGGTTCACATTCATGTTTATCTACATAAAACCAAACTGACAGATAAGTTACTGAAGGGGATGTATTAGCTGTGTTTGAATTGCTGAATTGAATTGCAGTGTTGCTGCTCTTCTAAGCTGGGGAATGGTGACTCCTAGGATGTGAAACAACCAACACTGCACACTTCCTGCTATCCAGTCCTTTCTGTTTTCTTCTGGGCCCCTTGTGACCTGTATAGTCAAAAGCAGCTTCTTGGATTCCATTGTGGTAAAATACCTCAAAAGGTCTAGCTGAGTTTGCAGTCATGTGTTTCTGCAAATGGTACCTACCCTTCTTATGGGTTATCCTGCCTAAAAACTCCTTTTTTCAGTCTCCTGGAGAAGTTTTTCGGGAGGTCAGATCAAAACATGGAAGAACTACCATTTGTACAAGCTGGGTCGGTGCAGAGTCCTAACTTTAGTTCTGAAGTCTTAAATGTAATTGTCTTTCCAGTGCCTCAGCATCCTACAGAAGAACCTTGGACCTCAGTCCCCATAAAAGAGCTAGGTAATGGTTTATCGTAAAACCACTGAAAGATTCTGTTGACACAAACCCTTGAAGGTCAGGTTCTTTGAAAGCGCAACCTGAACAGTGCAGAACGCCTTCCTCGCAGGACAGCGCCCACCACGCAGCATGTGTCTCCAGATGCGCTGGGGCAACCCTGGATCAGAACCTTCTGTGGGCACTGGGAGGGGGCTGCAGGGGAAAGCTCTTCATCAGGGTCGGGTGGTCAGGAAATAGTGTCCTATTTTGGGTAGTGATTTTGGGAGAGGACTTTTGTTCCACTTCTTTACTTAACTAACAGTCATTGTTTTCAGCTACCTAGCCTTTTTAGTAGCATATGCGCTTTTTTCCCCTTAGTATCTTTTCATGGATGAGAACTCTTCATCTAATCTAGATCTCCACAAGAGTACCCTCCTTGTAAAATGGCATAAAAGGGAGAACAATCACCATGATCTTTTGTCCAGAGGACTTCAGGAGAGTAACAGCTCGCCTGTGTCCCAGCTCTTGCGACACACGTACTGCATGTTTCTGTTCAGAAGTACGCCATTTCCAAACTCAGTAAGTGTGCCTTAGGTCTGTGAGAGTGCCTGATACTACATCAAAATGAGTAACGCTAATTCCAAATGTTCATTTAAACCAGACATAGATATAGACTAGCTATTAAAACAGGAGGAATTATATCAAGTACATTATCTTAATAAGCCACAATGACAAATATACAAATACCTATTTATAGAGGAAAAAGTCTTTAGTGCTTAAGTGCAAATGCAACAAGGTTAGGGCATTTCACAGTTCCCCCAGAACTGTCCTGCGGATAGGCAGAGGACAACTGTACCTCTGACAGCAGGGAGTAGCTGGTTAACATCCAGAGCAAAAATAAATATAGTCTCTTGATCAGTCTCCCTGCAGTAATCAGGAAGTGAGGATACACCTTAAGAGGGTGAAAATCTTGGTTTAAAAACTGATTTGACGACTTCAGTACTCTGTGCTCAACTTTCTCCAATGCCTAGTGTCTGGAAGGTTAAGAGCAGTTCTCAAGACTTGCTAAATTTGAGGACTTGCTAAATTTGAGGACAGTAAGCATCTCTTGTCCTGCTTGCCTGGAGAGTACTCGTGTGCCTTCTAAGCCATGTTTCTTCATCGTTTCCAGAATTTCATCTGTAATTGAAAGTGCAGTGTTACAACTGAGTTTATACAGATATTGGCTATAAGAGGCAGTGCTAAAGTATCTACCCAACATAAGCTGTAAAGCAAAGATTATAAACTGTCCTCTTTCAGACAGTAATTTTTATGCAAAGTAGTCTTCCACCAAGAACAAATGAAGTTTACAATTTACTAACAGAAGTTCTGTATTTTGGTATTATTAATAGCAATGAACAATTCAATTATAATGCTAATTTGTAGAAACTGAAATTTGTAGCACCTTCTCCCAAAAGCTGCCTAATGAATCAGGTGTGAAAGAATAATCTTTCTCCTTGAAGCTACTTGATAGCATATAGCCATTAAGTGTTAAATCAGAAGGAGCAAGTCCGAATCTTTTCTCTACATATGACAAAATGAAAGACCTCACATTTCCAGCTAAAGGCTTTTGCTTTTTAAGTTTACAATGCCATTCTCTTTCATGAAAAAAGGCTGGCCTGGCTCTGTTACTTAGTTCAGAAGATGTACAGTCACCTTTCAGGCTTGGAACTGAAGTCTTGCAGAGCTGCTGGGCTCAGAACCTACATATTGCCATTTTCCAAACTAACCTAGAGAGGTCTTAGTTTTGGTAAATTTGCTTTTATTTTTGGTCTAGCTCACCACACACTGGATGCACAAGGCATGCATTCAGAAAAATGATTCCAAGAGTCATCAGGTTACATAAAGGTCCATCTGTAGATTAAAGCCCCACACAAACTTGAAAGATGAGAAGCACAAGAGTCCGCAGAGATGTCACAGTTTGTATGAAGCCTGCAGATACACTCTAGCTGTCTGCAGCATTTCTAAAAAATTACCTCGAACACCTGTATGAATGAAACACCTCACTACATGCTGTCAATCTTCAATTAGTTACTATCACCACATGTTAGATTCAACTGATGTCATGTACTACTTTTTCTTGTTTACTGAAGTCTGATAACCTAAAGGACATTGCTGTGATCAATACTTTGATTAATACAGTGTTAAATCTGGTTGGGCACATTCAAGGGTCCAAGAAAAGTGATCACCTGGATTATTTTCTTTAATTGTGACTAAGTAGAATAATCCTCTTGGTGAAAGTAGATCTGGTACTAATGGAAAAACTCTATCCATTACTTCTCTGCCCTTTTTGCCACCAGCCCAGGATGCCTCTATTCCGTGGCTTGCCACCTAGGAAGAATGAACGCAAAGCTTGTCTTAATACAGAATGATAGAAGTATCAGTGGTACTTACACAAGAAAGATCACCATAATCTCTGCCTTTAGGTGCCTGCCACTAGGAATGTGACAACTTTAATTCAGCAGATTAGTTTATGCAGCAAAATTACTCCAAAACTACTTCCTACACAATGAACATACTACTTTTGTTTAAAGTTGTATTCTTCAACTGAATTTGAAAGAGCTACACTTCATCACATGCTTTATATTTATTTTCTTGTAATGTTTTATGAGCCTGTTTGCCAAGTAGAAGGTGGTTGGTAAACCCTTTAAGAGTTCCTGGGTCCAGTTCTGAGAGTCAGAGTCTGCAGAAGCAGAAGATGTTTATTTTGCAGGAACAAATGCGTTTTCCATTGAAAGTCTTCTGTAAGAATACCTTAGCATGCCTAACAGAAGTCTTACGTGGTTTACACTTGATCGAGAAACAAGGTATTGAGAAGCAGCAGCTAGCGATCCTTATTCCCATGTAGTCTTTATAGGCAGCTCTACTAAATTATTTTCATTAAACCAGTGCTGTTACAACAGTGCTGGTCCTACAACATCCTTTTCTATTTAAAAAAAACCCTGCAATTTTCATACCAGAGCTTAACTAATTTGCTGTCTCTCCTCTGACAGTAGAAATACCATTTTTGTTGTGTATTTCAGATTTTTCCTACCTCTTCAGAAGGTGTTACCACATATGGTGGATTAAATAGCAGTAGATCAACCTTGCCATTTAATCTTGGAGACAGTCCTTTGACCTATAGATGGAGTTGATGATTCTTTTGTTATTTTTTTATTTTAAACATAAAGAATATAAACATTTTATAAAAATACAGTTACATAGTGCTGGATATTCCGAGCATTTAAGCCGGACTCAAGAAGACTAAACTTTACTTTCTACGTGCAAGAGAAGCATCAAGAAGAATTACACGTGCACAGCAGAACAATTTCAATAGTGTTTCAATAGAGACAGGGAATAGTATTTCAGTAGAGGCACATTTGCAGACACAAAGGTAGTACTTTATTCTTGCTCAGTGCAGAATTTTGAATTTATCATTGGTTAACATTTGTTAACCAAAATGACCAATCTGTGACAACTGCAGTTCAGCTCGTAAGTAGGCGCAGCTGTTCATCCATTTTAGATCACATTCATTGTTGCCTATCTTCATCATTTATAAGTATATGTATTCAGGTTATTTTAAACAAATATCTTGCTAAAGAGATGAGAAACTTAAGCTTTTCTCCATATCAAATTTTGCAAGAAACAAAAGATAACAACATACACAGTTCCCAATTAAACTGGAAAGAGTTGAGAACCAAGAATGGCGTAGCATTAGTGGAAGGGCTATGATAATGTCAAGTCACTGCAGAGTTCCTTGTGCAGCATTTTCCAAACTATATCTACATAATTTATTTTTTAAATTAATTCAATTAGTTTTTAAAGCTTGAATTTGAATTTTAGTAGTAGTTTGTTTTTCCCTTCTTTCAGAAACGCTTTGGCATTTTGTTGTTTTCTGTTTTTTCATCCATGCTTATTAAGAGAATGTTTCTTCTGGACTTTATGGTTACTTTTCAGTAGCTCTAGTAAGTTAAAAAATTACAAAAACTATAAAGAAGATACTATTGAAACATCTGTCTTACCAAGTCAGTAATGACTGGCTCAAGGTGAACATTGTTAAGCAGAGCTGTCTCCAGTGTACAGTAAGCTGCCATCGGGTTGATATCTGTACATCTAAAAGCAAAACATTATGAAGTGTGACCTACTGTCTTCTGTCTCTGGAAGTTCAACCCTGTGAACCACATGCTACTTTCTGTACTCTCAATGAAAACATCCTTTCCAGCATCCTTTACTTTGCAAGTAAATAGCAAAAAGTAGCCAGTAAAATACACACAGTGTATCAGCACCTGCACTTCTCAAGGCCGCACTGGAAGTTTTCAGGACTGTCTGAAAGCTTTCCTTCTCTATGCTAGCTCTGCATAAATACATATGCGTACAAGTCTCTAATAAAATTCAGCTACTGCCAACACCCAGGTAACCAGTGCTAAGTCACCAGACCTCTGTAAGACGAGGCAGTGGCTGAGATTTAGGACTCAGCCCAGCAATTTGTCCAAGAAGCGCAAAAATGGAATTTAATCGCACGACTGCTTGTTACAGAAGCTGAAGTAAATAGTTTAGGCTTTCTTTGCTTTGATTTCTGTATCTGTAGGACCGAGCTAGTATTTCTTTGTGAGTAGTTTTAAAGTATGTACGTGAGGGCCAAGTATTCTCCGTTATTTCGTGCTGCTACACTTACACATACAGCGCGCCGGGCCCGATGACGGAGGACGCCAGAAACGCTGAAACCACGCCAGACCCAGCGCCTATTTCAAGGCAGATCTCGACTCTGCGGAGAGAGAAGACGCTGGATGGCTTTTACTGGTGACACGCACGAGCACCCGCCACCCGTGCAGAACCAGTGAGGGCCGCGCCC